AGCAAAATGCCAGGTGGTGGCAGAGCACGGTGTTGCTGTGCTCGATGGCACAGTGCTCACCCCAGAGCAATACACCAGGCTGTGGCACTGCCACTCCACACAGAGTCATGGGACGGGGAGCACTCCATGCAGACTGGAGGGACCAGGAATGTGAAGGGAAGGAGCAGCGTGCAGCAGGCCCCTGTGCATCCCCTGCTCCAAAGGGAACAGAACCCTCCTGTGTCAGGAAAGCTGAGAGCAAGCAACACTTAACCAACAGCCCCCAGCACCTGCCTAGCTCTGCTCTCAGCCAGGAGGTTGTTTCCATTTCCTTAGACACAGCAGGACAGGAGGCAACACAGAGAAACAGGACGTTAGCACAGACATCCGTTTTGCCACTTCAATTTTGGGTTTCCCAGGCATTCAGCAGCACCTTGCTTCATGGTTCCTGAGCTCGACTGTGCCAGCAGCACACCCAGACGCGGCTCACAGGCAGCCCAGAGATGCAGTGGTAAGGAAATAGTGACCAGCGGCATCAAAATAAGATTTATTATTTAGAACTGAGAGCTGGAAGAGACAAACATGGCAGATAACAACAAAACAATATGCCAGGCTCCGGATGCGAGAAGGGATGATACGGAAAGGCTTGTGGGCAACTAGAAATTCATATTTCTCCAGTACCAGAAGCAGAGTGAACAGAACATGGGGTCTGTGAACTGACCCTGCTGAGGGGAAGCCACTGAACTCTGAGTGCACGGCAGTGGGTTGGAAGAGTTTGGGGCCAGGATGCAACAGCAAAAGCAGCACTCCTGCTCCTCGGGGACTCACTAAAAGCCACTGCTCTACAAAATAAAAAAAAAGTTGAGTAGTCCTTTGTAATAAATGATTACTCATGAGATTATTGCTACAAACGGCTCTGTACATCGCCCCAGCCCAGCAGACAGCTGAAGCCTATTGTGAGTGAATCAAGGAAAAGAAATCTCCCACCACCATAATTTTAGCTTGTTGAAGGCACTTGAAAGTCTTTTAAAAATTGCTCCAATTACTGACTCGTCTGCAGAAGGATTTCAGGCTTACATTTAAAATTAGAAGTGACTTGAGAACTGTATTTAACTCTGGCAAGAAAATGCGGCCAGTCTCAAAGAAAAAGAAAGAGCTAAAAAAAAAGGTAACGACAAGTACAAAGTTACTCTCCAGTGAAGTCTCTGTAGGTTTCTTTACTTGATTTAACCAGATTTTAAGTATTCTCTTTACAAAAGAACAGCTCTGACTGCGAGAAATTCAAATGGACTTGGAACTTATCTTTTTTTTTTTTTTAGTGGAACCTGAATACATGTGCCTAGCTTATTTTTTGGATAATCGCTTAAATTACAATTAACTGCATGAAACAAAAAGCATTTGAAAGAATGCCTCCTCCTCCTCCTCCCTCTCCTCCAGAAGCTGCTCACAGGAACCTGGCTCACAACAGAAGGGAACGATTTGGAACAAAGTCCTTTTCCCCCAAAATAATTTTCCTTTATTTTTTTTTTTTTTTGCATAACATTTTTGTATTTCCAACTATAAATAAAAAAAGAAAATGATTAGAAAGAAGTTACAAAATTGTGTAGAATGGACCAGAACGGCACAGAATTTCTCACACACGACAAATCATTTCCCATCTTCCTCTTCCTCCTCTTTAGCTGCAGCAGGACCTGGCGCTTGGCACCGTAGCTGCGGGGGCCACGTGTCAGTCGCTGGCGATCGCATTTTCAGAATCTAAAAGACAAAATGGCCACGTGAGATCACAGACCGCAGCGTGCCTAAGACGCTTCCACGAGAGCCAGTTCAGGCACTGCATTGAGAACAGAACCCGAAATCCTCAGAGAGCATCACGTGTGTCATACTGAGAACGCGGCAGCATAAACATTCCTAAAGCCCTTTGCCAGAGGCCGCTGCAGCAGAACCAGAGCACCTCACCCATTCCTTCAGAGCAAGGCCCCCCTCTGGGGGCAAGAGGCTACGCAGAGTCCGGGGCTCACAATGGGGTTGGAAGGGAATGTACTGAGCACCAGGTGGGAGCAGCAGCTCAGGGCCACACACGTCCTGCTGGCGTGCACCCACTGCACCGTGACATCACCAGTGTCCTTCACTCTACCTCCCAGCAACACGCACAGTGGTTATTGGGTCTGCAAGCACATACATTTTTATACAGCATAAAGCTTGCCAGATTCTTCCGGAAAAAAAATGCAGTGTGTACTTCAGGGCAGAGGGAATACATGGGACAAGGGGGAAAAGCATGCTATGCAAACAGTCTGTGTTTAGCATAGCTCCTGGGGGATTCCCTGTTTTGGGCTTTGCTCTCATTAACTGCAGCCCCCGTTTTCTCCCTCCCATCTTTCTTGCTCTGTCTGTTCAAAGAAAGAATTGCTTTAAAGGAAGTAAAGCTGTCTTGGTTGCCATCCTTCCACAAGCTTCTGCTCAACATCGGTTCTGCAAATTCACCTGAACCCACCACAGTTCTCAGCATTTGGCCACTAATAACAACTAGCACTGGACACTGAAGTTCATCCAGGAAAAATGAAATGAGCCAAAATTAATGATCTCCAGGTTACAGGGAAAAAAGATAGCAACAGGACGTACCCCAACCTACACAGCAGGTCAGCCACCAAGCCAAAATGAGAGCGAGCTCTCCAGGTTCCTGGTTCTTGATAGAAACCCTCACAGATACTCAGCCCATGTCCCAGTGGACAACTTCTTAGCTTCTTATTCTGAAGGCAGCCTGAGCTTTTGGCCAAAAACTGAACTGCCCTCTCTACAGCACTGAAGAGATCACTGAATTCAGTTACACGCATTTTCTGTGTTGGAGAAAACTATGGGAAAAACTGTGCCTTGTATCTCGTAGCTGCTGACCAGAGAGAAGGAAACAAACACTAAGAAACGTGTTGTGTGTGCTATATCTGATTTGATAAACAAAAACTGAACGCTGAAGAAGTTTCTACCTTATTTACAAAGTAACTCAAAAATCCCCACCAAACTACAACACAGGAGGCCTTCATAGGGAAAAGAAAGTTCTGCCTTTTCCTGCTGCCTTATAGGAAGGCTGTCAATGGGCAACTACAGCAGTGTGCTGAATGTATGCTGCCTATCCATGGGGCACTACACCAAAGTGTACACTGAGTGTTCCTTTCTCCACAGACCTCAAAAAAAAAACCCACTACAGACTTGTCACAAGAATTCCACCATTACAGCATGTCCCTAAACAGACCAGGTCTTATTTTGTACATGGCTTCTCCACACTTAGCAAGAAAAATCTAAAGTTTAATAAGTTTGTCTATATAAAAGTGAAGGGTTGAATTATGCACCTCTAGACTTCTCATGGGGGAGTTACCTCAAGGGAGAAGCTTTACAGTCAAATATAGATCCAAGCATATGTAACAGCAATCCTGACAGCAGGCTATCTGTTTGGAAGAAAAAAAAATAAGAGAAGGGACTGCACACTTTACAACAAGACGTTGCTGCCTCCTGGTATGAGTCTTCCAGATGAATCAGTTACAGGTCCTCTATTTACCAACACAGCTAACGTCAGCACCACAGTACATCCAAGTCCCTTTGAGCAAGAAATTCTTTCACAATGCAGAACTTGTAACCTGACAGCTCCTAAAATCCGTTTTATTACGGTGCACTTCTGCAGCTTATCTGCATTAATAACAGAACACGGAGCCAGGGCCGGCACAACGCCTTCCTGCTGCACACACAGGAAAAACAGACCTTAGGAAAAAGCAAGTCCTGCTCAGGCAAACCTCACCAGCTTGTCAGCCACAACACAGTCCTCATGTGCTCAGCAGTTAGTTTCAGCAATATAGACAGGAAGATAATTGTATTTGCCAGGTTCATTCAAGAGAAACATAGCAATCAGCACAGCAGTCAGCCTGCACAAATACCCAACTGAATCTCAGCTCACATCTGCATTGGTACAGCTGCATATGCAAAAGTCAACCCCATAAACACACACACACAAAAAGAAAAAACTGACAAAAAATAACCCGTACTCGATTCAGTAAATAACCATGTCAAGAGATTCCATGTGATTATGTTTTTACCATTTTGTAAATTCAATCCTATAACAAGATAGTCACCCATCCGTGAAAATGGGACTCAACTTGTGATATTGTATGATTCTGTGGCCTCTGCAGAGATCTCAGAGATTCAGCAGGCACACCTCTGCAGCACAGCCATCGTTTCCCACAAACATCACCACAAATCAGGGATCGAGAAGGGCAGGAGAGGAACCAGGACACAAAAAACTTCACGAAGAAATTAAACAGTCACAAACTGCTGCATCTCCAAGCCAACACTCTCAACTACGTTACTGAAACTCAGGCGGGGGGTCCTCAGCAGCAACTCAGAAAACTAAGCAGGTTTTTGCCATATTATCTAACTTCTGAGATGCCAACCTTGCTCAAAAGTCATGAAATCTTTGCCATTTTTCAGGCAGGACGAGGAAAGCAATGCTGAGGTCAAGTAATTCCAGAATAGAGACTTCTATTCAAAACTCTCCAGGGCTGACTTTCAAAGAATGAAGAAGGATGTGTTTACCACTCAAAAGTGCCCATAACAAACTCATGCTTATTGAACAATACCAACACGAACACTCTGAACGCTAAGTCTATGGGGAAAATTCTGACTGTTCTCTGAACTGAAAGCACTGCACTAGGACCACAAAAACACTTCAAAGGAAAAAGCAGCTACCGAAAAAGCCAACTTAACCTCATGAATGACACAAAGGTGTTAGTGATTTTCTTCCCCAAATATCAAATGGTGAAACCCGGATCTTGATTAAGAAGTTCATGTCAGAAATACTGGCATTTAGCACTACTGCCTCTTTCCAAAGAGGAATCAATTTGCAGGAGTGCACAGACTGCCACGCTTGGCCGGACAACCAGCCCGTTCAGTTCAAAAGCCTGTTTTTGATAACCATCAATGTCAAATATCTCAGAGAAAAATGAAAGAAGCTGTGCCAGACAGTGATGGAGGAGGGGTAGGTGTAAAGTAACACCTGAGAAATATTAACTCTAAGTTACAGAATGAAGACCACAGTTACACAAGGGCAAGTCCTTACATCAGTTGTTGAACACACCTGCCAGGGAGGCTGAGCCGGGATGAGCAAGCGAGCCTTGAAGGGTGCAGGGTCCCCTCCCATGCTGCCCTGCCAATGATGCACTCCCGACACAAGACCAGTCGCATGCCATTTCCTTACTACCAGGTGTGTGACTCAGCAGCAGGAAGTCCTCTTTCAATATCTTGTCCCTCCACCAATGCTGCAGCACCAGCCCTGCGGTGCCTCCCGCTCCAGACTAAGGCTGGATGACAGGGCTCAGCACAAAAGTTGGTTAAATCCAGCAAAATGCACAGATCACTGGGAGCCAGCCCTGCTGCCTGAGCAGAGCCGATGCCTGCTGTGAAAACACCTTTTGCTTTTCGAAGGCTTCTTAAAGCACAGGCATGTAACTAACAGTCAAGTACTTGCCCACTGGTCCTATTTAAGTGGACTTCCTATAAATACAGTTCAGTTTTTAAGAAACAAAAACTGTTTCTTAAAACACAAGAAAAACATCCAATGACCAGCACCTCCCTGGAGCAGGGCATTCTCTTTTTCCAAAGGTGCAGGCAAAGCACCTTTGCTCACATTTTTCTCGAGAAGTTGCCCCATTTGTTCCATCCCAAGTCACTTTCTTAATCACTATCAAGGCCCAAAACTCCCTTCAGCATGATCAGGGACAACAAAACATAGCTGGAAGCTCACAGCCTAAAGAACTGAAGCCAAGATGGCTACCACAAAATTCAAGTCATGAACACTGAAATGAAAGCACCAACGTCTGGCCCCACCACCAGCTAAAAAAGGCCCACATAAGAAAGCAGGCACTAAAAGCTGAAAACTTCGTTTTAAAAGAAAAAGTGAACACGATTAGCTCTGGACCAAACCTGGCACCAGGCAGCCCCATGTGCTCCCACAGCTTTGGCCATGCTTGGCTGGAAGGCTCTGATGACCTGCAGCACAAGGCTGGCAGCTGACACGCATGCAGCACCCACAGCAAAACTGCACAGGTCGGATGTGCAGAAGAAGCACAAAAGCAGAAGTACCAGACCTCTCCCTGCACAGCCCTTCCTCATTTCTACTGCAGCCTACACCGACATCAGTGACTGCCAAGAGCGTGCACGCAGCACAAACTTGTACTGGGGCCAAGTTTCTTCGATGCCCTCCCTCACATTTAAATGATGCCAGGATCATGCTAATGGGGCTTCCCTGGTACTGGCAGTGTGGGATGCGCACGGTCCAAATGCCTCATTTACCACCTACCCAACTGCAGCATTGCTGGCAGTACAAATGAGATGCTAAAGATACCATCTCTTAAAATAACCCATTTAATGTTCCGGCCCGGCCTGCTTTGCAGCAGCAGAGCACCAGAAACGCTGCAGGAGCAGCGAGATTCTGTGGGGTGGCACTACATCACTTCTGGAGCACCACTGCACGTCTACAGCTGCAAGAGATGGGACACAGCCCTGGGCAGGCACCGAGGAGCAGCGGAAGCATCACATCTAATCCTTCGCACAGAAGGCTGGAAAACAGGCGCAGGGTTACCTGGGAGAGCGGGGAATTGACACGCTTCTGTTTTCAGAAAAACACTGGGTTTTTCACACAGTTTTCAAGCACAAAATGTTTATTTTTTCTTCTTTTTAATCTATACAATTTCTTGGGGCTTTTAGTGCCACTGACTCTGTCAGTATACAGGGGATGGACTATACAACAGGCAATAGCGACAAACTGTAGGATTCAGTGCAAGCTGAAGGAAAACTGGTGTGAGAACATATTTTCCATGTTTGCTCATGAAGCATACAGACATGAATCTAAAAAACCCAAACAAATTAAAGATACATGTTACAGAGAACAGAAATCTCTTACTACAGTAAGTATTTTGCCCAGGCAGAAGACTCTGCATAATTGTCTATAAAATTCAATTCTAACTGAATTGATGGAATAATATATTCAAAGGGTACAAACAAAATAATTTAGACAGAATAATGCTCAAAGTACAATAGAACTATACAATTTCACAGCTTGGCAGCACAAGACATCTCTGCCCATCAGCAGACAGTATAGAATGTCATTGCAGTAGAGATACAGAGCAACGCGCCTTCAGGTTTGACCGCTCGTTTGGCTCCCTGTGCCTGTAGGGATGGCCCTTAGTGCCGTCCATAGAAATGGAACTTACCATCAGCAAATCAGTGTCAGTGGTTACCTTGTGCCTTTAGACTGAGAGGTGCAGATGCAGACTCTAAGCACAGTAAAAGAGGCAAAAAGCAACCCGCAAACAGGAGAGAGGTGTCCGTGCCGCCTACGGTGCAAACTTGATTAAAAAAAAAAAAAAAAAAGGAAAAAAAGATTCAAATGAAAGATGGTGAGATTCCAAAACTGAAGCATTCATTGCTCACAGAGGAAAAAGGAAAAAGAATAGCTTCACATTTTTATTCCATTTCAATGTGAATACTGTTAGCACTTGAGTGGCAAAATGCGTTCTTAGCCTCTGTTGTGAAACTGAAGGCAGAGCACACACGTGTGTACTTACATGGCTCCGACAGCGACCTGCGGACGTGCTTCTGCGACCCAGATTTCCATCAGGCTTCTCACTCATGGAACACGCATAGATTTGTAATTTAACTAAATTATAAAAGCCCGGCAGGGAAAGAAAATGTAATCCAATTGGCTACTGTGGTCTGGAAGAAAGCAGTACTCGTGTGTCCGCTACAGCAGCAGGCTGCAACCTGCAGCGGCTTTACCAAAGGCTGTAAGGAACGGATTGCACTGCCCGAAGCTATTATCTGTTCTTATATACAACTCACTCTGTAAATGCTCCTATTTTAAAATGTGCATTTCACTACTCCTTGTACAAACACAATAAATTTCCATCAGTATCTCAAACAAACTTCACCTCACTGTTTTTTTTTAAAGCCTCGGAAATGAAAATTCAACACATCAATTAAAATTAAAGCATTTACAGCAGAATGAAACTGATGACGAGCTTCGACTGTAAACTTTCAATATCTTTGCAAAGAAAAAGAACTTTACTCACAAGCAATTCATAAATAAAATACACCTTTCAAATATTTTTACATCTCTTTCCAGCTGGAACTGAAAAGCTGATATTCAAGGCACTGTACTCCTGCAGGTTAGTACAATTTCTAGTCATCGATTCAAGTACATCAACTTCAAGGCTTGCAAAGTGTAAAACATCAGAACACAACATAATAAAGTGTCTTCAGCAATGACATATATGCAGATATTGCCGTAACAAACAAACGACCTGTTGCGAAACCCATCACAGTGATTGCTGGATGTGGTGTATGGCTGTGTAGGCTGGCAGGCCTGCTGAGGACCCGCGCCTTTCTGACACATATGGCATCTACAGATGGACACGAGGTCGCTGTCACCATCACCTATCAGAGCCCACTGAGCTATGTCAGTCTCACACGTGGGCCGGGCGGGTCGGCCGCGGGCTGCTGCAGTGGCACAGGATACATCTGCAAGCAAGCTTTGCTCAGAGCCGAGAAATGAGCAATGCTCTGCCCTCCTACCAGCCCCGGCCGTGCTGCCGGCCCCGACCACTGCACTCCATAAAGCGGCGTAGGGAAAACTCCTCCGTACTGACAAAGAGGCATCGCATAGGGTGTTACTGTGCCAGAAGGGGTAGTACCTGGCATAGGCACTGGCATGGATGGTGAAACTCCAGGAGTTAGCGCAGCTGACATGGGACAAGACACTGGAACAATGCACCTTTTCCCCAATCCTGTTCTTACTGAATTAACCTACAAAAAGAAAAATAAAAAAGCATGGCTATTAAGCGTCTGTCTTCCCACCCGTGGGACGCTAGGGCGGCATGCACAGGAGGACAGCCCAGCTCTTGGCCTCCTCACACCTCTTACTTGTGTTCTTTTTTGGAAATTAATAGCAAAGGTTGGCATGGGGAAGGATGTCTCAGTATAACCTTACTGTTTAAGGAGTCAGGAAACATTACTGAGCAGGTAAGAACGTAATGTCGCAAAATCCCTGGAAAAGCTTTAACGTGCAAAGTAACCCCCTGTTGTCCCTCACTGCTACTGCATCTTGTGTACAGAAGTAAATAAATTAAGCCAAATGCAGAATGAAACCAAATCTCACTGTACTTCTTACAGCCCTTCCCAAAGCAGGCTTTCAAACCTTCAGCACATTAGTGCTGTAGAAAGGTGTTCGTGCTGGGCTGTTCGTCCAAGCCGAACCAAGGGTGGCAAAGAAGGGAAGACTTTGCGTTGAAGTTCACTACCCAGCACTGGGGGTGTGGGATCATGTCAGGTAAACCAGAAGGACTCAGCAGGAGCTGATCCTGCCCAGGGGCTGCTGGAGCCAGTCCTGCTATTTTGCTGAGATTCAATTAGCATTCACTTCAATTACTCTGTTTTTGCATGCTAAGCTCAGAGAAAGAGCTCGTCTTCCTAAACATGGGGATGGCAGGGGCACCCGAATTACATGCTTCATAATGCACAATGCTACAGAAACAGTAATTATACAAAACACTGCCTGGTCTCAATCTGGATGAGATTTACAGTATTTCTTTGCTTTTTAAATTTCACATAATTTGCAACTCCCTGCCATGGGTCTCATCAAGCCAGCACCTACTCACGACATAAGAAAAAAACAATACTCTCACTTTGGGAGTGTCCCAGTAATATCAAAAATATTTCACATCAAACTAGTAGAATTAGCAGGAAGGTGAAAATTCAGAGGAAATGAATATAAGTATAGAAGAGTGTGAAATGCTTACTCTAGTCTCTGGTTTTAGTCTCTCAATTAAAAACAAAAATGGCAATGGCACTCTGATGCACTGCTCTGGGGCGCTCACCTGTGCTCCAGAGCAAATGTGAAAAGCACACAAGCATCCAATACCTTCCACTGCTTCTCTACCTCCATTTCTAATCTGAAACACGAATGCGATGGCAAACACCAAACTAAGAAATAGCTACTTTGGAATAATGAATTTAAAATCATTCATCCATAAAAATTCACCAAAACTAACAGCAGAGAGCAAAGACCAACAAATGGAGCGACTGAGGACGTGCACATTTATACAACACGACGACTTCTGACGGCTGTTCTTAGAACCACGCTTGGCATCCTCAGAGTGATGGCTTTCACCTCGCAAGATGGTTGTGAGTGAAGTGGCTGACAAAGAACGCCGGTAGAGGAACCTCGCCTGTGTAGGGAATCTCTTCTAAAAGCAATGGACTTATCAAGTAGCACCGAAAATGCAAGGTGACATTTCAGCAAGTTTAAAACGTATAACTGAAAAAAACCTTCTTTTCAGATCTTTTTAAATGTTGAGTAATCTACTTCTTTACTTGATTTATGCTGCTTTACCTTTTCTTGCTCAGCTAATCAACTCAGTAAAGCAGCGGCATGTCAGTCAGGAATAAATGCCATCAGGTTGCAAACCCAAACATTCCACATACACATTGAAACCTGTTTGTATGATGACAAAGGCACATTCACAATGTAAGGTTGCACCCTCCACCTTGCTGCACACTTCGAACAAGCAAACCCCATGCTGTGAGCAACAAAGACAGCCAGCTCGTGACTCCCCCTGTACTGCAGCCCCTTAGACAAACTCATTTTTTAAACCATAATCTTCGGACAACCAACGAATCAACACCGATGGAAGCTGAAACCCTTCCTCCCCCACACAAAAACTGACTGAAACATTGAGATGAGCGAGCAGTGGTACAGTCCTCAAAACAGCACTGAATTGCCCAGCTTTAGCAAAGTCACAGAGGCTGCAAGGGACCTTGCTGACAAAATTTGTAATGAAGTTGTCTTGGGAATTGAAAGCAAGTGGCACAAGATCTGAATCCCATACCAACTCAAACAGCTCATGTTTAGAGCATGCTGAAAACAGATGTAACAACAGCCTGCACTCATACAGGACCAGTGGCTTCTGCTTGTTTGTTTTTAATCCTCTAGTTCTCCAGTTGGTTCTTATCCCTCCTTTTTCAGCGTACCAAAAGCCCAAAGTTAAGAGGTGTTACTGAAAATTTGTGTTTGTCTTCTTCAGACTTCTAGAAAGCTGCTCTGACATTCAGAACGAGCAGGCAGCATTGATCAGCTTCAATCAAGCGCAGGTACATCATATTTGTAACATTCTTCCAACCCAATGGACACGGAAGACACAGCAAAAGGTGTTAATAGCCCTTCTGTTCCATTCTTACATCCGCAGCTATCTCCAGAGCGCCTGCTTCCCAGGCAGGCGGCTCATTAAAATGAGGATGCACTAAATGCAAACAGATGTGCAGCGATTACTAATAGTGCCTACACCACCACACACGTCAGCAACTGACACGGGCTGCCATGTCCCACAGATACAACCATATCACGGACTCAGAGCACGTTTACAGCTTTTCTTTTTTGGTAATACTTTTTCTTTAATGCCCATGCAGTCATGTAACGGTACAAAGGGACAAAACGTGTTTGCTACACTCGTCATTCCCAGACATCTTCAAACAACACCTGTAGCCACACAACATCCAGTGCTTTTTACACAGAAAGCAGCTCACGGCCCTAGATATATTCCCCTGGTGGTGGTAACCACAATTACCTGTAAGAAAGGATCACTGCATAATGCCTCCAAGATAGATAAGCATGAGGGAAATAGCTATTTTCAGGCAGATTGACTTAATTCTGCCTAGTATCTCCTACTTCCTTTCATATTACTGACAGTAAGAATCCATGCATATTTCCATGTTTAAATAAAACCTCTGAAAAGGAATGTTTCATTGCTCTAGTAACGAAACTGGAAGCCTAAAAGTTTCCCCACAAGCTTCTAATATGCATTAATGGAGATCTGCAGCCAAACCAACTGGTATTTTTTTTTTCCTGATGGAATTGTCATTTTCACAGAAACAAAGCAGAATTTCAAGTCCACCTTTGCACCCAAACTATTGCTTCCTATACCCAGTGACAATAAAAACGAAGAGAATAAAACCTCTGAGTCTTTAGGCACCTTATTAAATAACTAACAGATTTCTCTTCTGTGCTTCCACCTTAAAAGTAGCCTTCATTTAATTTAAAAAAAGACATTGATAACACATTGTATTCACACACCAAGCAAATCTGCTGCTGCTGGCTAGAAGTAACTTAGAATAATAGAATCATTAGGGTTAAAAAAGATCTCTAAGATCATCAAAAGTCCAACTGTTAAGCCATCACCAACACATCCACTGAAAGGGCATCTTGAAAGGGGGTGGGGGGAAAACAAACACCTGTTTTCAGGGTGAAAGAGAAGACTTGAAATGAGCCAAACTAGCTTATATAGAAATAGCAATCTGCAGACAGCAAGAGAGTATTAAAATAATAATACCTTTAGCAATGACTTATTGCAATTTTATTTTGGGTAAAAAATGGACACAAAGAAGAGAGCTATCTGGTTTGATGTCTTCTTTGTCATTCCTTGTATGGACTGCACTCCAGGAGGATGCTCACTGGCTGCGTGGAAGAGCTCTGCCTGGTTCTGATCCCTGGGGTTGTCCTTACAGCCAACAGACACCGCAGAACAACTCACACAGCTCCCACTCCTGCCTAAGAACTCTTCAAGGAGACACCTTCCTTCCCCATAACCTCCAAAGGAAATTCAGAAATGCCTACATTTCCAATTATTACAATGGGCCAGTGTTAGCTTCTCCCAAACAAAATACTTGGTTGGACTATGAGACAGCTGGCCCTACCACTTTCCTGCTGGTTTGTTCCAGTGTTTCATCATTGGCACTATCAAAGATAAAAAGAATGATAAGCATCACTGTGTTTCCAATTTATCTAGCTTTTATTTCCAACATAAAACCTTATTAAAAATTTCTCTGATGAGCTGGGAATCTGTTTAGTGCTCCTTAGTTCTTTTATTGCAAAGGTAATCTTGCATTTAATCAAAAAAGACAAGAAGATGTTGTTAACAGATGGTCTGAAGAAGTACAGCCTGAGCTTAACATGCTCCCTGTTAGAAAGCTATTTTTTTCAGTCCTCTGTGATTTCTTGAGTGCTTTTTATCTAATACCATTTTGAAGTGTGGATTCCATACTGATTTACTGCAAGTACAACATCTCCCAATATAACTCCAAGAACTGATGTCACTGGGTCACTCTCCTGGCTGCCCAGGATCCTCTCTGCTTCCTCCCTCTTCTCCTGGCTGTTTTTCCTCCCAACCTCATGAAGTGTTCTTCTTCCTTCACTTCAGATCCCCTTTAATGCGAATTTGAAAAGGTACTCAACTTCTACAGCAGCCCTCGCACAGCTTTTAAAGGCTCCTCCATCACATTTGTGGCCCTACTTCCTGTGGCCCAGGAGGGTTGGTGGATGCAGCACAGTGGCAGCTCCTGCTCCCAGCACAGGGAATGCAATTCAGCAGTGCTGTTCCACATTGGAAGGTCTGAAGTAGCCTGTGGCATGCTGTGCCACTCCTGTGTCCAAAACACCCTACCAACAACCCTAACACAGGAGCCATCCACATTTACATCCCTTCTGCAGCCCACATCCCTACTGGTGCATGAAGTCACCCACCACCAGCTGGCACAGAGCTCTCAGTCCCCAGCTATGAGTGTTCCAAGCAGCAAGTGACAATGTGAACTGAAGAGCAGAGAATCCCAACCTTTCTATGTTCTTAATCAATAATCCGAGTTACTTCAGCCTTAGTCAATCTTTGGAACAGACGCATTCTAAAAAAACAAACCCTCTAAAACCAGCATGTTAAGACAGCACATAGCAGAAAGTAAAATTAATCTTAAATTGATGTTTACATCATTAAGATAAGAAGTCTCCCCCCCCCATCTCTTTTCCAGAGTTGTAAGCAGGCAGAGCACCCCATCAGATCCTTCCATCTACCACAGGAGCCTCACGGAAAAGACAACAAGCTGTGAAAAGCACATCAAAAAGAGTAAGTGACAACAAAGGAACAGAGCCTGTGCCCACACAACCGCTTCCTAGAGCATCTCCAGAGACCTTCTATTTGTGTTTACTGGCACCTTCATGACTTGTTTTCTGAGAACTAACGGGGTCTTGACGTCACTTCTACTCCAGAACACGTTTATGCTGTTTAAACCATCACTATGGAGAGGGATTATTTACTCTCCAGTTTTTGTTCATTAATGGCCACTATGAATCGATGCAAAACTGCTTAATAAGCTTACACAAGTGCTTTTCCCTGTGAAGTCAGTGATCTACTAAGACCAGCAGGTACAAAACAGACACATCAGCAAGTTCCTGCTCCAGCAGGTCCCACCTGAACAGCAGCTGAGCTGCCACTGCTGCATCCAAACCTTTTCCCTCATACATGCCAAAAAAACAATGGTTTCTACCCAGGTCCAGTTATCTTGTTTTTAAGGGGTTACCATGGAGTCCTTCACTAGTTTTATTCTCACGATTTCCTTGCCTTTAAATTAATCTGTTTTCCTCTATTTGGCTCAATTTCTGCTCTTCCAAAAAAATGAATTGAGCAAAAATAGTTGAGGAAGCATCAGTCTGTGAGAATGAGAAAGGGATCTGGAAAACCAGTCCAGGGTGGGAGAGAACTCTGAATTGGGATTCTGGCTGTGTCCTCAACACTGTCATGCAGTCACACAAACAAGCACTGAACATTGACACAGACACACATCATGGCACTGTTTGCCTGCTATGGAAAATAAGAAAAGACAAATGGGGCACCACTAGGTATGGCTTTGTTGTACTTCACTTCCACAGAATTGCTGGGGATGCCCATGAGGCAAAAGGCCTTACAGATGCACGAGATTAATACTGCACAGAGTAGGATATCAAGCAAGGGTCAGAACAACACTGAGCAGTGCCCTGTCTTGGCACAGTACCTGCAATGCTTGTGCTAAGACAAAAGCTTGCTGCCAACAGGCCACTAGCCCAGGCCCTGCCTGCCTGAGGAAGATTCATGTTAAGCATCAAAAAGAAGAATGTTAGCAATAATAAAAACTTAAGTCAAAGATCATATGGTTAGTGGTATTAAGTATTGCTGCGGTTACTGTTAATGAGTAGTTAGCAATTTAAAAATATATATTTTAAAATATATGTATTGCAGCCCATATATCTCCCAAGATTATTCCAAAAGACAATTAAAAAAAAAGCCAACAAAACTGTTTTAGTACTTAATGAAAAGAGTTGGACATTTATACGAAGCAGCTATCTGAAGTAATTTAGTTTATGTCCTCCTCCAAATCTGAGTTCTGCAAAGGCTGTCAGACACATAGCAAAAGGTACGTCCTTCAAGGAGTGCCACTTACTCCACATGTCTCATTCTGTGTTTGCATGGGATTTGCCTTTGGCTCCATGTCCTGCCTTTTTTGGTTCTGCTTCAGTTGGTTTAAAGAAGGTTTTGCCTGTGCAGCTCCAACAGTTTTGCTTGTCCACTGGTCAACCAGCTTGTGAAGATCATCGGTGAACGTTCCCTTCTTGTTGTTACTGTTGTTGGCCTGAACCTGCAGAGTTGATTGCGGGAGGGGCTCAGGACACGTTACAAGACTGTTTGTAGAGGATCCTGGAAAATCACACACAAAGAAAGTTGACAATGGCGTCTCCGTTTCACCACTTATCTGCTCACATAGCTTCCTACACACTGCAGTTCAAACAGTGGCTTTCCTGACTTCACCCTCCCCCTCCTTTCTACAGAACACCTTTGCTTAAAGAAATGGTCCTCCATTGGTCCAAATGCTTTCAGATTACGTCTCATTGTGTTACCTGCCCAGAACTTCTCTCAACTGAAATTCATGACCAAGAGAGAAGGAATAAATGCACAGAAGCACTCCCAGTGCCACCGACACTGCCAGGCTTGCAAAGTCTCTGCATGGAAGACTGCCATAGGTGTGTTACTTGCTGCAGCTTCATGCTTTTAAAAAATGTATTTTATTTGCATAAGTGTACTGTCCTCCTGGAAAAATGTAATTAGCACACAGGGCTAAGAGTACAGTTGGCCTCAGTGTCTCAAAGGCTCCAGGACCCACAGCCTCCCTCTGCCAGCTTGACATTTGGGGAGAAAAAAACATTGGGACCACTAATGTACAGAAGAAAAAGGAGAAAAGAGGCCATAAGTGGGCATGTGAGTTTCTGACACAGAGATACAGAACTTCTGGGATAGATAAAGGCAGATGGGAAGAGATCTAACAGAAATTGAATTTTATAGGCTTGTATGGCTCTAGGAAGAGATCTGTCCTATTTATCTGTTGGTAACTACAAGTCTGACACAGCAAGACTGGCAGCAAACTGGAAGAAAGTTTCTACGAACTTTACAAGATTTACTGTATCTCAATATTTTAAATAAGACCATCTCTCCAAGCAAAAAGTTCATGGAACTGCAGTAAAATTATTACAGAAGCAAACACAAACATTCAGTTTTCCGTTTTCTGTTAATGAGCTACCAGTCAATGAAACTGAATAAAGTAAGTGTTCCTACGGTCATATAAAATACATTACTAGCCTTTAAATGATCATGCATTCAACCTGCAACACAACTTGTAAGTGAACACTGCTCATTTCCTTTTCCTTTTCTCGGGGGAAAGGGACCAGTGAGAAAATAAGTACTTGGACAGGAAAGCTCTTCAATCAGTGCTTAACATTTCATGCATCTCCATAGGAACAAGAGAGTTTTAAGCTATAAATTCCTCCAGCAAAAAATTGCAGTCATATAGAAGTGTGTATTTAAGGGAAACAAACACACAATCCAGTTTTCTGGCTGCATGCGTGCACAATCTCACACACAAAGAGTACCACGACTGTCTTGCAGCATGCGTAGATCCCAAACATCACAGCACATGCATTATTAGGAAAGTATCACAACGTATATAGTCTAATTTCATACCAGTATAAGTGCATCAGCTCTATTCATTAAACAACTAGCTTTTAGTAAAAAGAAAAAAGAAAACTCAAAGAAAAAGCATCCCATGCCATGAAGGAAATACTGAGAAACAAAAATGGGATAGTTACTACTACTGTGATCTTTGCCTAGACATAGTCGTTTCAAGGTGGACCCTACAAGGTAAAACAATACAAGACATACAGAATTAGGTAAGACTAAACATAACAAATCTGACGGACAAGCTTCTGTACTTTTAAGCAATCAGAGAGTAGTTATTATGCAAGAAAGGACAGACAAAGTCAGCAGTTCAGGTGAGTAAAGGAAATCTAAATAACTGGACAGCTCAAACCTTTATTAATGTGCAGCCATTCAGAAGCTTTGAGAGGTACAATAGCATGCCAAAAGCAAGGTCCCATGACTTAAAGATGCATTTTTTCGTTTGTTTCAAATTGCCTTGGCTTCCTAATAGGAGATTTTGATTCCTATTTATGCAGGAAATGATGTCAATTCAGTTTGTGATAGGAGGCCAAAAATGCTTTCAGGAACAAGTAACGCTAGTCTGGCTGCAAAGACAAACTGTACAATAACCCTAAAACATCCCGTTTTACAAGTCCAAAAAGATACATTGTTCTGCAGGTCTGAGGCCAATTTTCTCAATTATTTATTAGCATGATTTGTGTCTAAATGTGAGATTCTGAACGTTAATTAAAAGTTACTGTAAATGAGTTTCCCTTCATCTTGTCCAAGTGCAGAAAAACAATCCAGCAGAGTAGCTGAGTTCTCATTTAACCAAACTACGTGTTTTTTCGTTATTATCTTGTTAGAGCCTTCATTATTTTACATATTCTGTTGGACAGTTATCTACAGTGCCAGATGTGGATAGAGAACCCTATTTGACAGTTAGGTCTCGCCAGACATTGGCACCATTTCCATTAGAGTGCCAAATTTCCTGAAAGGTATTTTGGACTTGACAAGAAGAATATCGTTATGGTATGGGAGGAGATGAACATCTGATATGGGGCATGGTGAGTTTATCGTGAAGAAGCACTTGAACACATGAGTAAAATCAGAAGGCTGGGCAGAAAGCAAGATACAGAATGTATGTGCTTTTTTTTTTTTATGGTAAACTGGTGCCACTGTTTAATTTTACTGTGCCAGAAATGCAGCTTTAAACTCAGAGATTGCAGGTCCAGGTTGACATAGGCTCTGAATGAGTCTTCAAAGGAGAAAGGAGAGACATCACTCAGAGACTGGAGAAGAGAAAATAAAGAAGAGAGGGAGGAAAAAAGGGAGAAGAAATGCTTGTGTTCTGATATGGGTGATATGAGGAGGAAAAGAACGATTGGTTTGAAAGAATTTTTTGTTATTTCCTATAGCTTAATGAAGTTTATATTCCAGGAAAATCAGAAGGACAGGACTACAGTAATGTCTTATGCAAGCATGACCAAAAGCTTAGTTTCTCAACTCAAAGCTTAGATGAAAAGTACAAGTCACATTCACAACTGAACATCGTGTTGCATTTTTTTGGTATTTATCTTTTCCCTCATATATTTTACAACACCTATCTTTTAAAGTTAGGTAGCAGCCCCCGTTATAGCAACATCAGCGGTAGTAATATAATAATATAATGTTAATTTCTTAACTACCCTGCAGCATTCTGCATGTAGCAATAGGTAGAAGTTGGCACAGTCTGTATGCAAATGAAAAATGCCCGCAAAAACTAAAAGCAGGCAGCTGACTGCAGTACGTGCTCAAATGCATGTAAAAATGTTTAATCACCAACCCCACTGCTTCCTGAGCACCAAGCCACGAGTGCTGTGCACCCCAGGTGCCAATGCAAACCTTCTGCTCCAAAACATCTGGGGAAGTGACAGATAGCACTGATCCTAGACATGCACAAGGTACCCACACAAAGGGAGCCTGCTTTAAGAGAAGTACTACAAAAAGGTGAATCACCAAAAAGAGCTGTTTCTTTCCAACTGCATCACTCCAACGCTCCTGGGAGATAGGAACATTACCTAACAGGGACTGATGATCACCAGCTAAGATTTGATTTAAATTCAAATTCAATTTAAAGTGCACTTGGTAAACCTAATTCACCAGATTAATTGTATTACTTCCACAATAAAGGTGTTTAATAGCTGGAAAAGAAAAGGAGATGAACCCTAATTAATTGAGATTTAATCTCTGACTGTAAAAGTTAAGCGAAGTTAAGCTTTATTTCCAATTCCAGAAGTAACATCTGAGAAATTAAGGAGCTATTGATCTTACAGGACAGAAAAAAAAATCCACTGTCCCATATTTGTGCTGAAACAGCTGCCAAAAAACATGAAAACTAAAACAAAATTGAAATGGCAGTAAGTTGTTAGACCATTTCCATAATCCCATTCACGTACAATATATTAATTACTACAGACCTGACGAGAATAGCTTTGCATGAGATTACAAGTTTAAGCCAAGAGGAGCTTTTGAAAATCCCACTCACAGTCAGTGCAAACTCCTCTCTAAGACGCCCTTGCAATTTAGCCCATGGGAAGAGGTTGGGCTAAAATTATGCTGGAGACCATCAAAAATATTTTATTCCATAAGAAGTTGAAGAAAAAAGCAAACTGGACAAGGGGACAAATTGGACAGCAGCTCTGGGAGAACCTGAAAGTGTCCAAGCTTGATGGGCTTTGTAGCCAGACACAACTGCCTTTATAGAAGCATGCTGCTAATGTATTGTACTAGTAAATACATCTGAGCTCCCCTCCCCAGAGTGCTTTTATTCCTCAGTCAAATGTGTAAATGTAGAACATTCCTGAAAATGCAGCACGGATCCTCCCAGCAACTCCTAAATAACAAAACAGCGTTGATTTGTGGGACGGATCCAGCTGAACTGCCAAGTCCCACAGAACGACTACCTGCACCCAAAGGTCACAGCTCAGGCTCACATGCTCTTGCTCCCCATGTTTCAAACCCACTCTTGGTGCTCCTGCACGCAGAGACGCTCGCACAGAGCACATGCAGGAGTTGCTGCAAACCCTCAAGTCTCCTTTGCACTGGGCAGCTCACGTTCCTGACCGAGAAGAAGGGCCACGAGCCAGCTGGCCCTCTCCATGCCAGCATCGTCACTTTGCACTGTGCCCTGAGGCCCAGGGCTGCGCTGGACACCCACTAGATGGAACCACCAGACACGTCTGCGGGCTCTGGCCACACAGCCCAGCTTCCTCACAGGTCCCCAGTTTGCTTCTGCTATGACTCACAAATGGGGGAGTGCAAATCTCCAAACACTTTGCCCAAAGAAACAGAAAAGAGAACATATGGGCTGAGAACAGAAACCAATTTGTTGTGCTGCTGATTACTTCAAGTATTGGGAAGCTTCATAATTGGAAGAATTCACATATTCCCTCGGTTTCATTCACAATATCCATGCACCCAAACTGCTTTAATACGCTGTTTGTGAATTGCCACCTCCCAGAGCTTTTGCATTCTCCTGAATAGTGGTTTTGTGAAAGATAAATGAAACCACTTTGAGATTTGTATGTACAGGAGAAGAAACTACTACATCCATTATAATACCAAATGGCAAAAATCACATACTGAGATTTCCCTCAGGTACTCGGAAAAACCCTGAGTGCAAAACTGTTATTAAAAACCGGTATGAAAATAAATGCAGTGTGCTAAGCAGTAAACATCAGTTTTCAGAACCTGAATGCTTGGATTTTAGGGATCTCAAACAAAATCAAGATTATTCTTAAAAGTACTGTTTATTCATAACATTAGGGAGAGTGTTTTTAAGTGGTCTTGTGCCTTTGATCTACACCACGTGGGTAATGATGAGCAACATCGCACTGCAATGGGAGACTTGGTATCAATGCAAACAAACAGTGGGTTAACCAAACATTTTCTCCTGAACATTATCAGCCTTCCTAATTTTATATGTAAGTGGCCTATAGTACCTGGTCAGCCCAACATATCTTTATTGTACAAGCAAAATCTGTGTGCCTAAAGGGCAGCAAATACTGCTAGGTAAAAAGGTTTGCACTTTTTAATTAAATAGCTTGATATCATTTGGTTGAATCGCCAATTATGTAGAAGTCATACAGATAAGGTATAAATAGTAGGTGCACAATTATCTGAATTGAGAAATACTGGATCCTAACAATCCATTTCAGAGTATCATTTAATAATCTGATACTGCTTTTTACTTATTGCTGCTTTGATGAACTGCTAATTGACTTCATCTCAGAGGTCACATAAGGTCATAAGAAAATAAACTGAGCGCAGTGCTTCAGCCAGATCGGTTCACACAAAAAGTCGATGGCACTCTCCTCTGGAGTAACCGGATCTTCCCGCCACTGAGGTGTACATCAGAATTGCTCACTTAAACTGATTGAAGCGAATGCATGGGGAAAAGCCCACCTAGAAAAGACGTTTTGAAAGAACTAGCTGGAGCACTATCGTCTCAGCATTTCCACATGCAAAGAGCGGGGGAAAAAAATTAAAGAAAATAGAGTGGATATAAACAGTACTGTAGATCGTGTTAATACAGCCCTTGTATGGAAGTTATACCCTTCAGTGACCTTCTAGTATTGTATCAGCTTGCTACATGCATGTCTTCATAGTCCAAACATGTGTGAAAGAGACCATTCGTCTACAGAAGGATGGATTTCTTTTTGTTGTCGCTGGAACCGGGACAGCAGACATGTATATTTGCCACATTGCAAATAAAAAAATTACTTCAACATAAATCACATAAAGTACAAAAGCTTTGATAAGTCCAGGATAAAATTTACCATTAGGCTATATCATAAATGATGAGATCTTCCACACATGCTTTTGGTGCCCAGGCATGAGCCAAAAGCAGTGCAAAAAAAGCTTTCATATGAAAAATTAATATAAATAAGGTGTGTTTGTGATGATTACTTAAAAGAAAGATAAAGAAAGATAAGATGGCTCAGAAAAAGGGGCATCCTGCCAAACATATTAGAGATATAAAACATGAGATTGGAAAAAGGGGTAAAAGAAAGATGGACTGTGATAAAATACAAAAGAACAAATACAAACAGATGGACAAAGACACAGGTCCACTGAGGAATCTGGTACGAGGTTTGCTACTAGATTTATAGGTCACTCTCTCAGACGTTTGGTGGAAAACCGTCCAGCCTGTAAATGAATATAAAGGGAAGAAAACAAAGACACTTATAAAGTACAAGTAGCTGTGATCAGATGTCCTATACCATCAGTCAAATCAGCTTTGTTAGTTAAACATCCACATCTCCATTTTAACTTTGCCAAAGAGGATTAAGTTAATTGACTGTACACAAAGGATGCAATAACAGCAAAAGAGAACAGATAGATATTTTGTAGATTAGTTTGGCAGGATGTGCAATGAGAGGAAGGTATTTTAATCATCATTATAACTTCCACTATGCATGGCAACAAGATCAGTCAAAGCCTACAGAGGTATGCACTACACAGAAGTACCAGAAGTCGGGACTGGGGAACAGCCAATCTACTCTACAGCTCTACAGTCATTTAGCTGGGGTTCCAAAAGCATGCACAACGTTAACCCCTTAGATAAAGGGGACATAACTTGGTTCTATTTTTTTTTCCACACCTGAGAAGGATTAGTATTTTATAATGAGAATCTCCAGGTCTAACCCATATCAAGGGGCTAAAACAGCAGCCCAAAATAGACCATGGGAAACAGTCTCCTATCCGTCTTCATTTCTTAATTTTTTTTTCTCTTCCCTATTTTTTCTCTTTAAGAAATCCACTAGGCAGACTCCAGAAAAAGTGTCAGTAGCACTGCTGGCAAAGGTAGAAGGTATTTCCTACCTAAAATCTAGTGTGCCTTCCTGAGTGTTGACTCTGAATACTGACAATACTGCAGTGATATTTTTAAAGATAAGCCTGTAATTTGGATTGCCAAATCCACTCCTAAAAGTTCAAGCATAAGGGAAGCAAATTGATTTTAGCATGTGCTGGAGGATATGCTGAACAGCTGGTAGGAAAAAATCACCTTGGCCAGAGCTTGCGTTCACATCACCTCCTTCGGGGCCTAAGCCGGAGCAGATGTCAGAAGACAAAGAGGCTTTGACAGAGCACGGCTGCTGTGTCTGAACAGACTTCCCAAATGTGGCTGACACAGAGGAAGTTACTCCTGTTGTTTCGGGAGATCCAGGCTGAGCTTTAGTTGTTTCTTTGTGGGGTGAGTCTTTAGAGTCTGAAACATTACCTGAAAGAACAAAAACAAAATACAAGCAACAGCAAATGCTAGGAAACTACTGAAGAAATATCAGTGCCTAAAAACAACTGCTCATTTGCCTCCAAGAACAGCAGTCTACAATTCTGAAGTACCATATGAAGCACAGACTACACAGATAACCAGCACCACAAAATAGTTTACGCATACTGTCACTGCTCTTGGTCATCCAAGAAGATAAGTTTGATTTTTAGAGTTTCTTTCCTGAGTTTTTCAGAAGGACTGGAGTCAAGAACTCTGAGAGCACTGTTCAGAGCTGCAGAAGTACCTGATTAGGACAATGGAGGCACAAGATGACTGAGCAGAACAAGTAGGTTTGCACTCAAACCTGAGGTGAAAGCCAGTGGAGAAAAATAAAAAGCTGCTGAGACGACTTTTTTTCTTTATAACTATCTATATATAGATATATAAACGTCTCCAAAAATATACAAAAATATGTATCTATATAGGTATATTGGGTAAGGAGACGTTTAGCAAGAGAGTAGCTCTGTAATCAGAAGGCAATGCTAATTAGCATATATCAGTAACTGCATGAGACTACCTGCCCTTCATCTCTGAGAAATTACCTTAGAAAGCCCCAGAAATGAGGAGTCTAACTAGGTAAGGGTGAGAAGACTCAGGTGTGAATACAGGTTCTCAGAGTAAGGAGAAATTCATTCAGTGCCTCAGAATAGTGAAAAATAATAAAGAAGAAATGCAGGAAGGAAAGCATGCACCAAAGAAGCAACATAACTGAGCAGACTGCCGTTCTCTAATTTAAAGTGGTGGTTAAGAGGAGGACATTACAACTCAGAAATAGGTTGAAATTCTTTGAATTAAGGTAAAAGGCTGATATGAGCCAAGGTCCACGAGCAGAGACAGAGATATGGGTTCTCTGTGTAGACAGAAAATGGCCACAGACAACCCAAGAACAAACTGGCAAATGGATAGACAAAATCACAGACATTCACAGCATCTCACCACAAGGAAGGGAGATAAAACCTACACAGGTTAGCCAAGCAGCAGCAAAATAGTTATGAAAGACTAAACACTGCTTCAGATCCTGTATGCAAAAATACTCAGATTCGAGATGGATCACAGAACGTCTTGCCTCCGAATCTACTTTCTCTGTCTTAATTGAAATCCTTAACTAAAAGCAAAACCCTCTAAAACAGTCTTATAAGAATTTCATTGCATCAGCCTTGCTAAGCCAATCTGTAGAAGTGATGTTGCAAATGAGACCTACCAGATTTGAAATACGTCAATATGGAAGCATGCTACTCTTCCACGTAATCATATGAACTAAGCTGAAGGAAAATTAATCTATTCTACATCCTGCTGAAGAAATAGGCATTGGAGTGTATCAACATTTGTTATCTGTAGTCATCTTCCTACCTTCCGAAGAGATAATGACTCAAGATTGTCATACTGTTTGAGAGCATTTGAAAAAATCCCAAAGTATTTCAGATGGCCAAAGCATCCATCACAGATTGTATTAACTGCTTTCTTATCTCCCACTCTTGGGGGAGCAAATAGAATCCTATCTTATTTATATAGCATGGTGTAGGAAAAAATAAACAACAACAGGATACAGCACCCAATCAATAGAGGACTGCAGCTCCTAAGAAGTGAATACAAACATCAATAAATTGCATTTGGAGAAAAGATGAGAAAATGTAACCAGGCTGTATTCCAAATTAAAGTGGGATACTGTTTCTCTGCCAAACGTTGTCAACAATGCAGGGAAGGTACAGCTCAGCATGGGGCACTGTAACAAGATGGTCTCAAAGGAAGCCCACTTCAAAACCAGTTCACAGCATGCAAACTTAAGACACCGTACTAAGAAGAAAAAAATCAGTAACTTTTATGCAGTCCATGCAATTACACAGCAAAACCATAACAGCCAAAACTAACAGGGAAATGGAGAGTAACCCAGTGCACCTACTTGTGCTTGATGTTCCACTCCTGAGCTGCTGAACCAGAGGGTTTAATAGTTTTCCACCTTTCAATTTATTTTTGCTGGTTCTTCGTCGACGGCCGCTTGGCGGGGCTGAGTGAAGGAACCCCATGTTGGGAGGCAGGGGCTTCCCTAACCGAATATACAGTGCCTCTATCTCATTCTTCTGCTGAGTCTGAAGTTCGGCAATTTCTTTCATATGCCTAAGCATAAAAACAAAACATTTGCTAGCGTGTATTTGATAAAGTACCACACGTTGGCAGCAGGACTAGCTATGAGATGAAACACAACAACCTTCAGTCATAAAAGCTACCCAACAGCGTGTGAAGTCAGAACCACCTACTTAGCAAAGGCGGTGGCTGACTTCTCGTACACTGATTTGTAAGATAGAACCCGAGGTAGAGAAAAGATTTAAAATATGCTAAGTAAAAGCAATCAGTTTTGGAATTCTGATTTAAAGATGCCATAAAGTCCATTTTACACTTTTTGTATTAGTATAGTTCTGTATAAAAAATGTGTAGCATCTATATTCAGCAAAACCATTATATCGTATGTTAAAGATTTTGTTTAGGCTACCAACTAATGCTAGTATTTATCCATCACACGTCAGCAAAGAAAGAAACATTAATGCTGTAATAAAGCTGGCTGTGAGGTCTGGCAGCACAGCAGACTACTGAGGCTCGTCAGACCTCCCTGAGATTGGGCAGATTGCTGAGGTTTAGGCATGGTGTGAGGTGAAGTGATGGTTTTAATTTAGTACCTGCTAGCAGGTATCTATCAAAAGAGTGACATCAGGAATAGTGGTGGGTCTGTAGGTCTGCCAGTCTGAAGCACTCTTGCAGAGAAGCGCATGAAGAGAGCGCCTTACAGCTCTCCATGCAGACATCCATGTTACAGTTATGTGACCTTACCCAGCACCCACACTGGATCCTAATACTGAACACAAACACATCACAACTGCTACCACTTGCTACTGTATCAGTGCACTTTTTAAGCAGGGAAACTGGACATCACAGGAGAAATTCTCTGATTTAAAAAGAAAGTTAAAGCTGAATTATTCTACTTCCAAATGGAAGTGGCAAATAAAGTGAGGCACAAAATGATGCAGGATGACATTCAAGGGGAGGTCTCAGTGACGCCTAATTTGCTCAGGAGCAGTTTACTCACTACAGCTATGCAAAACACATTTGCTTAGCACATGCAGAGATGCTGCCTAGGTATCTCAATGCATTCTACTCTAGCACTGTTCGCAACATACTTTTCTCTCAAGTTCTGCAGCTCTTTCTTCATGTCTGCATCTTCAAATTCGGAGTCATTGTCACTGCTCATGTACGATGACTGCGAGTGGAAGGACGTTATGTTGATGGTAGGAATCTTTGTTCCCTGCCCGTTCGGTGAATCGGGGCCTTGGGAGCCCGCTTTTCCAGTCCTTTGCAGAAAAGCTGCTGCTTTTTTAATTAAGTCAGAGGCTGCACTACTGCTCGGAGGGGACGGCTGAGCCGCAGCAGCCTGTCGATGGAAGGGTTCCTCAGCAGAATCACTCGAGCCCTGGTCACAAAGGACATCAACAGACGAGGCTGTCTGCACCCGTCGGACAGCTGTCTTCTGGTCAGGGCTGGAAGGGAGCTCATCCAAATAGACGTCTGGGGGCGCAGAGAATCTTAAGCAATGCGGCGCTGCTAAAGTTAATTCATCTTGCGTGCTGCTTACTGAAAACCTGCCAATAGTTTTGGCTGGTGTACCACTATCATGAGTTCCAGACTGTTTTCCATAGGAACCGGAGTCTAGAGAGTCATCCCTTTGAAGGTTATTTATCACCCCATCTGCTGTTGATAGCTGCATTACATTATCTGTGTGCGTAGATGAAGTTGTAGCCTTTGCCTTCTCGTTCGTTTTAGAAGTTTCCATCTGTTTAGCTATGCTTGATGATGTAGGTGTAACCTGGAAAAAATAACAGAGGTTAATTTTGAAAGTAACTGTAACAATCAAATATAAAATTATGCGTGGTTTCTGGTTACCTGGAGGAGGCCCTTTGCTGGAGTCACAGGAGCTGGAGTGATGCTCGCAGCTGATCCTGGTTTACAAGTTGGAGAAAAAAAAATAAATTAATGTCTGGAATGGTTTTGCATAAAGCAAGCCAATGGTAAACTCAAGGGTAACAGTGCAGCACTGAAGAATGATGTAAATACTAATTCCTTGTAATGCAGGATCTAGGATTTTTTCTTTTTTTTTTTTTAAATGCAGGAGACAATAATGATAACCGTACCAATTACCTGCACGTAGATACTAGCTTCAGTCTATTGATTTGGGGAATTCAAATAATAAAAAGAGTGTGAAATTTCTTAAGTCAACTGGAAAATTTTAGAGAGGAAGTCGAGTGAAATTTGCATGGTA